ACGCTTCTATTCCAGATCATGTCGAGACGTTTAAGAGAAGTGACTCGTCTCAGAAAGTCCATTTCAGCAGCCTGTACCCGGGTTCCAAGCTTTTCAGCCATGGCCAATGACTTATGACCATAGGACAGAGCATGGTGATGGAGGTCGACTTAAAAACCGAGATCTTAGCCTCCAGTCCATCTCTACTTTACTTACAATGGTTCGGGCCAGTTCCGGCAGAACACACGGACTACCACAATCCGCTGATCCACCACTTCCTCAAATTTTCCATTACCAGCAAACACGACCCATAGGTTCTTGGACTTCTCCACCCGCTTCTCCGTTTAAAGAAGAGAGCAACGGGTAGGAAAAAGAGAAAGCAATGCATACCGTACGCGAGTTGAAGGCTCTTTGTTTCCAAATCATTTCGTGAATGCAGCCTTCTTCTCTTTAACTGCCAGCTGAACCTCTCGTGCTCATTAGGAGGTTGTTTTCTGACCTCGTGGCAGCAGACTAGCCCATTTGAATCCGCAGCATTCAGCAACAGACTCGAGTGTGCCACAATTAAAGAGCTGTCACCCAGTTTCTACGTCAGCAGTCATCACCGGGATCTGTTCAGATCGTCATGCGATGATGTTCCAAGTTTTGCTCTCGTAGCCGCCGAAGATAATGTTTCCAATTTGATGCTCTGGTTGCTGCTGCCACCGGATCTTTGCATGGTACTCATATCTTACAACGTAATGTGCCAATATGAAGGTGGTGATCGATTCACAGCTCTACACCGGTCTTAACTAAAACATCGATTACAAAGCGTCGTCAATCAGATGATATGAATATCACATCGATCATCGAGTTCTGTGCATAAGCTTCCTTGTACAAGGTATGATACGCGCTTCGATCTTAAAAGAACGTGACCATAACAGACGGCCTGTTGTTTATACAAAACCGCAACAACTTCATGCACTTATTGTTGAAGTTGCTAAGCCCGTTCTTTCCAATCACGCCTTATACCTTTCAATGTCTGTTCTGGCATGCGCATTAAAATCGCCCATTAGAATGAAGGACTCCTTTGTGAGCATTTCGTACATAAAACACTACTTCCTCAAGGAAGGACTCATATTCTCCATTCAAACTGGGTGCATAAACCAGCAATGAGGACAAAGCTTTAGCCTGTTGTAGGTTCAGTCGGAGTATTGCCACCCTTCCGCTAAAAGATTTTCATTAAATGATTCTATCAGTCAGGTTGGGTTCTAAAAAATCATCAACACCGACCTGAGTGCGCATCGTGATGTTGACATCTGAGTAGACTAGGTTTCACCCGCAGAGGTTCAGAATTCCAGAGCCTTGGCGCTTCGATGACGCTGAGTTCAACTAAGTAGAGTTGGTACCTTGCAGCCTCATGATCTAGCTCTTGTTCCTCCCCTCTGAGTGAGGAAATATTCCAATTTCCGAATGTAAGCTTCGACTCGCTGTGGACCACGATATAACCTATTCTATCGTACTATAATGGCAACTTAGATGAAATGCTTATTTAAATCTCAAAAGGTAAAATCGTTTCATGCACTCTGTTCATAAGTTCTTTACAACATGATTATTTTGGCATCGTATCCTTCGTATATTGGAGGAAATTCATAAGATACTAAAGTTTTATCCAAATTTCATGCTTGGTCATTTTATACCAAGCTTTACCATTATTTACAAACGCAATACAAAAGGGTTAAGTTAAATAACACTGAACTTTCAAGACCTTCCAAAGTGTTACAGCTCGAATATATGAAGGCGAGTAATATCAAACTGCAACATGAGCACTGTGCTTTTGCTTATCATGATAACGAACTTCGACCAAACTTTGTACAAGACAATCTGCGCAGCGGAGAATTAAAACAAATTAATTAAACACAGAAAACAATAAATTTTATAAGTTATGTCTGTGTACACTCGCGACGCAAAACACTCGAAGCAAGGCAAATGTTCTTGATTCCGAACTGATACCAGTACATACCCAGTGTGCTTGTTTGCGATTCAGAAGTCATCAGGGTCTCAGCTAACTGAATCAGCCTCGGCATCTCAATCACTGCCGATTCTCCCTTAGACGTTTCGTTGTGAAGCAGAACGAAAAACAGGAAGATCTTCGAAACAAGACTATCGTCTTCACTGAACACAAGATAAGCATGAAAATACTGTTTCAGTATAATGCTCATTATGCTCACCAGCATCCGCTTTCCACGATCATCTCCAACTGACGGTTGAACACGTTCAAAATACAGTGGTCTGGATCCAGCGCAGAATAATTCACTTTCACCATCAGAAGGTGAATCAGAAGATCAATCACCGAGCACTGAAAGTCGACATCCACGCTGATATTATATAAACGCAACGCCTTAATGTAACTTCAATTCAGAAATCGTCTTAAAGTAATTTGAGATTACTTCCACAACTACCGGCTGAAACAACTGGATCATTTCAGACAGTTGGGCCTTCAAACCAGGATTCTGTAGAAGATCTGCTACGTACCTGTCACAATGATTTCCAAACCAACCGATCTGTCTAAATGAAGCCGACGTCACATTATTTTCAAGCAAATACGATAAGATGTCTCATCCATGAAACAATAATAATATCATAGAAAGAAAAGTCCATTTGCGTTGAACTGTAGAAAGAAAACAGAAGTTTGTCTTACATTAAGGGCTCAACCTCACCACAACATTAATCTTTTTCGAACATCACCATTTAAGAAAATATTACTTCTTGGAAAAGCAAACAACCAATAAAGGCTAGTGATGTCTGAACCATATGAAACACACAAATGCACTATATTATACATTGTTCCTTGCTGCGGCATTATTATTCATCACAAAGCAAATCCGCTCTAGGGGGCCTTTCAATGTATTATGCTGTTGTTTTCTGATACTAAGAGCAAACAGACGGTTCGCATCAAAAAGTTATTTCGAATCAAACTTTCGTTCTCTTTCCAGGCCGATAGGTGAAACCAAGAGAGGCATCTGCACCTCAATAATTCTGACAGACTTTCCTTATGATGTTCATCACGGAACGCTTCGATGCCCCTCAATTTCGAAAATAACGGTTTCAGAAGCTGCTTCCAGAAAGGATGCGTAAAAACACTGCACAGAAGGCAGCCTGTACCATAGCAATTCCTGATTTCAATTCTTTATGCCCCATTCTTCTGCGCTTCAATTCACCTTCTATTTGTAGCAGGATAAGTTATTACGTACTCTGGCTTTCTAAAACGACGGGTACTATGAGTGTTTGATCTGTTGACGCTGATGCATGATGAGTGGTTGCCGCCCGCAATGTACCCAGCAACTCCAATCCGAACATTTTTTATGGACATAGTTAAACTAAGCATTTCAGTCTTACAAT